CAGGGGTGGGGGGGGGTGAGTTTCAAGGGAAGAGGAAGAGGAACCCCTTGGAAAGGGAAGGAGACAGCAGGGAGATCCTTGGACAGGACTTTTGTTTTCTGGAATTTCAAGGTTGCCCTGGCAAAGAGCTAATGGCTGCCTCTCTGCTTTGCCTTAGCAGACTTACGATGAGGAGGAAGAAGAGGACGATGAGGACGATGAAGACAGCGAGGAGGACTCTGAAGATGATGAGGACATGCAGGACATGGACGAGATGAATGATTACAACGAATCTCCCGATGATGGCGAGATTAACGAGGTTGGGATGCTGTGCTTTTTTCCCTCCTTATGGTCCGGACAAAAATCCACGGGTTTCTCTAAGACAAGGAAGCTCTACTGGCCCTTCTTTCCCCAGTTGCTGGTTGGCAGATGTCTGGTTGAAAATTGGGGCCCATTTCAGTTGCAGGTTCTCGTGGTGCTTGGTTTTGCCAGGCTGGGACTGTTCCCTTAAAAGGGACGTGGGCTGGGACGCACTCAGCCAGAGGAGCCCTGAATTGCTGCCTGAGCATGTTTGTCAGAGTGGATCCTGCTGGATTGCCCTGTTAGGGGCCTTTTTGCTCTCTTCGCCTCTTAAGCTGACCTCTGTAATGGTGGATAGGACTCCTGACTTGTAGGGTCTCTTCAAAGAATGGGGCTTCCTTGCTGCTGCTGCATTTTCTTCCTCCTCATCTTTTGATGTATATGGCCGCTCATCCTACCAAGTAACTGTGGGCGACTAACTCAATTAAAACATCAGTGTAAGAGCAAATAACAAAAATAATTTGAAAAGTACCCAACAAAAAACAAACAAAAATGGTTTTTAACCAGGGGTAAATTAGAAGGAAACTCATAGGTTCAGCTCCAAGTCTGGGAAATTGGCCAGGTCTTAAGAGCTTCCCCAAAAGCCAGTTCGGGCAGGGGCCAGTGAATCTCGGGGTAGGCACCGCAACAAAGAAGGCCCCCGCTTCCTGGGTCCTGCCAGATGATACACCCCTAATCAAGGGGACCCAGAGCACGGCCCTCCTGCCAGATTATGGGCAGCCCCACCTGTAAGCAGACTTGCACGGGTTGCATTTCTGAAGTTGTTAATGCAATGAGTGCTAGGAAGTTAGAAGTAGGGAGGGGGGCTGTGCAGTTTCCCTTCTCCTAGGGGGCAGGGCTGGTGGCATACAGAGTGCCTTCCAGCAGCAGTTCCCTCCTCATAAGCATCTGTCCACTCTCTCCCTCTCCCCCCAGGTGGACATGGAAGGGGCTGAGCAAGACCAAGATCAGTGGATGATCTAGATGTCGGAGAAGCAGCCGCAGCAGCAAATTGCTGTCTGTGTGCGGAGAAGAGGTTCCCGAGCCTGTCTGTTCACAGTGCAGACGGACATGGGTGTTCTCTGCCTGCTGCAGCTCCATGCCAGAAGGAGGGACTGAATACTGCCACTGTCCACACCAACTGCCCCAGCGAGCTGGCCTCCTGTGTTGCTCTGCTGGTCCATTTTGAGTGAGCTCAGCAATCGGCCAGAGAGAACGACTTGGGTATTATGTCTGTCTCTTGCCAGTCCTGGGCCCGTGCTCTTTCTCTCTGTTTGTGGGCTTCCTACTCTCAGTCGGAGCTGTTTTGTAAATAAAACTGTTTTTACTTGACCTGTGTTGTTCTTATTCTCCCTCCAGTCCATTTCAGGTTCCCTCCCTTATGGTAGCATTGGGAATGACTCTCGGGCTGACAGCCTAACCCCATGTAGACTGGGGAGTGAAGTCCTTCAAGGGGATGCTGAGTTGCAGGCAAAGACGGCGAGGTAAGGCAGAAGCAGAAGGGCCATCAGGAATGCCACTGGGGAGGATATCGGGGTCTGGAGAGAGGGAACATGAAAACGCAGTGCAGCGGGGATTGGAAGACACGTGAACAAAATGCCTGTGAATTTGGTTGTGTTTTTGTGTTTATCCACCCCCCAGGAATTTTTAATAATTCTGGATTATGAAAATGAGGGACAAGGTTAGGCAGTGGGTGTATCGGCAAAGTCGCCTCCTGATCCAGAGCTCAGTTTGCAATTTGGGGAAATCATTTCAAGCTAACTACTTCCACATTTCCCTTTTATTCAGAGGATTTATTTCCGCTAGTGAAAGGGCGGGAGTGAGGCTTGGGGGTAGGACTACTGCAGGGAAATATAATGCTTAGGAGAATTGGTGTTCTCTCACCTCTGCAAATGTTTAATTGAAATGCTTTTTAGAATGTTTCTGTGTGTGATTTAACAATACAAGTCAAAGTGTAACATGATAAAGCTATAAGCAAAAATCACAATATAAAACAAGGCCAAACCAGCATTAAAAAAGACAAATTCCATAATGTCCAAGAGTTGACACCATGGCCTGTGAAGGGAAGGTGTTCTCATAAGCGGCAGTTCTTGTGCTTTCAGACTTCCAGCAAATGTGGCTTTTGAAGACAGCTCTGGGTATCATGCTGTGTGCCAGAGGTAACATCACAGCATCTTCCAGCATAGACTGGGGACTTTGCTTTCCCGGAAAGATTTTATGCGTGAGCAGGACAGAGCATGGGAGTTTTGCCAGTTCTCCACTACCCACTCAAGCAGCCTGTCTTGAGGAGTGGGACAGGGGAGCTCCAACTTGGAGATTTTTCTGCTGTGGAAGCACCATCAACAGATGCAACGTGGAACTTCTTTACGGCAGACACGCACATTGACTTCGTGACTTCAGCTTAAGTTGCAGATCACTGCGATGTAAGAAGAGTCCTGAAATTAAAGATTCCTTTCCATCTCTCATAACTGGAAACTCAACGTATTTTCTGAAGCTTCTTGTGATCCCAACGTTGACGAAGGATTAAGGAAAGACCATATGGTCAGGGTGTTTAAAAATAGGATTATTTAGCCTTCAGGATTGGTTGTGTTCTTGCACCTTTATCTGACCATTTGGCCCTGACTATTGTGGCCAGGGAACCTGCCACCAAGATTTTGGACTATATGTGCATGTGATATTTTCCAGAGGCTTCAAGAGAGCCCTCAGCTGCCCCCAGTGCCTTGCACAGTTTTCCAATCTGCCAGACAATTATTCTGCCCTGTTTTCCTAGAGCAGATTGATTTCTTCCCTTCCCTCTAGCACGGAGGCAGCCCTGCCTCTCACTCCAGACCCAGGTAGGTCAGCTGGGCCATGCCATCAGGAATGCCCCGGAAGTACTGCAGGCTGGTCCTGTGCACCCTCCATTTGTACTTCCCGCAGGCCTTGACGTACTGGAGGAAATGGGGGGCCCCAGGGAAGATGACATTGTCTGCCAGGACTGTGGCCCCCGGCTGGAGGAGGCCGTGAGCTTCCAGCAGCTGCAGATCCCGTAGGTAGCAGCACTTCCAGTGATTCATGACAACCAGGTGGACTTGGGGCAGCAGAAACGTCTCTTTGAGCAGAGGGATGACCTCCTCGGAGGGGCCCACGATCAGCTCGACCTGCATGGGGGGAAGAGTGGCGAGTTCATCAGAGCAGGTCCGGGGGAGAGATCCCCAGGGTCCACAACCCCCCGGTTGCCACATTCTTGGAAACCAGGCATCTCCAGGTGTTGTGATAAAAGGGTGGGGCCAGGAGTAGGAGACCAGGTTCGGGTGCCTCAGCCATGGGAACCCATTGGGTGACTTTGGACAAGTCTCAGTCTACTTCCCAGGGTGGCTGTGGGAGAAGGATGTGTTATCTCAGTGTTTCTCATCCTTGGCAACTTTAAGAGGGGTGGGCTT